ACTTTTTTCACATGCATGACGCCATGGGGGCTATCCTCAAAAGTTTTCGTCTCAGAATAAAAAAATAATTTTGGTGTGTGGATGTGCTCTTAGATGTCCGACCCTCATGAAAACAATTGGCGCAATTTCATCAACAATCATGACTTGAGGCCAAGAATCAGCAGCACTAAAAACATCAGCGATTTCAACTTTTTCACATGCATGACTTTTACGGCGTGGGAGCTATTCTGAAAAGTATCAGTTTCAGAATGAAAATAATTAGTGTGTGGATGCATTCTAACATGGCCGACCCTCATGAAAAACATTGGCGCAATTGCATAAAAAATCATGACTTGAGGCCAAGAACCAGCAGCACTGAAAATACATCAGCGATTCGAACTTTTTCACATGCATGACTTTTACGCCATGAGAGCTATTCTCAAAAGTATTAGTTTCAGAATAAAAATATTTGGTGTATGGATGCATTCTTACATGGCCGACCCTCGTGAAAAATATTGGCGCAATTGCATCAAAAATCATTACTTGAGGCCGAACTATAAATACATCAGCGATTCGATTTTTTTCACATGCATGACTTTTACGCCATGAGAGCTATTCTTAAAAGTATTTGTTTCAGAACTAAAACATTTGCTGTGTGGATGCATTCTTACATGGTCGACCCTCATAAAAAAAATATTGGCGCAATTGCATAAAAAATCATGACTTGAGGCCGAACTATAAATACATCAGCGATTCGAATTTTTTCACATGCATGACTTTTACGCCATGAGAGCTATTCTCAAAAGTATTAGTTTCAGAACTAAAACATTTGGTGTGTGGATGCATTCTTACATGGCCGACCCTCATGGAAAATATTGGCGCAATTGCATCAAAAATCATGACTTGAGGCCGAACTATAAATACATCAGCGATTCGATTATTTTCTCATGCATGACTTTTACGCCATGAGAGCTATTCTCAAAAGTATTAGTTTCAGAACTAAAACATTGGTGTGTGGATGCATTCTTACATGGTCGACCCTGATGAAAAATATTGGCGCAATTGCATCAAAAATCATGACTTGAGGCCGAACTATAAATACATCAGCGATTCGATTTTTTTCACATGCATCACTTTTACGCCATGAGAGCTATTCTCAAAAGTATTAGTTTCAGAACTAAAACATTTGGTGTGTGGATATATTCTTACATGGTCAACACTCATGAAAGATATTGGCGCAATTGCATCAAAAATCATGACTTGAGGCCGAACTATAAATACATCAGCGATTCGATTTTTTTCACATGCATCACTTTTACGCCATGAGAGCTATTCTCAAAAAGTATTAGTTTCAGAACTAAAACATTTAGTGTGTGGATGCATTCTTACATGGTCGACCCTCATGAAAAATATTGGCGCAATTGCATCAAAAATCATGACTTGAGGCCAAACAATAAATACGTCAGCGATTCGAATTTTTTCACATGCATGAATAAAAATATTAAGTGTGTGGATGCACTCTTAGATGTCCCACACTCATGAAAACAATGGTCGCAATTGCATCAAAAATCATGACTTGAGGCCAAGAATCAGCAGCACTATAAATACATCAGCGATTCTAACTTTTTCACATGCATGACTTTTACGGCGTGGGAGCTATTCCCGAAAGTATCAGTTTCAGAATAAAAATATTTAGTGTGTGGATGCACTCTTAGATGTCCCACACTCTTGAAAAACACATTGACGCAATTTCATAAATAAATCATAACTAAGACCATGGGCAAGAACCTGCAGACCTGACAATACATCAGCGATTTGAACTTTTTCACATGCATGACTTTTACGCCATGGGAGCTATCCTCAAAAGTATTCGTGCCAGAATAAAAATATATGGTTTGTGGATGCACGTTTAGATGTCCCACACTCATGAAAACAATTGGCACAATTTCATCCAAAATCATGACTTGAATCCAAAAACCAGCAGCACTGAAAACATCAGCGATTCGAACTTTTTTCACATGCATGACGCCACGGGAGCTATCCTCAAAAGTATTCGTATCAGAATAAAAAAATAATTTTGGTGTGTGGATGCGCTCTTAGATGTCCGACCCTCATGAAAACAATTGGCGCAATTTCATCAACAATCATGACTTGAGGCCAAGAATCAGCAGCACTAAAAACATCAGCGATTTCAACTTTTCACATGCATGACTTTTACGGCGTGGGAGCTATTCTCAAAAGTATCAGTTTCAGAATGAAAATAATTTGTGTGTGGATGCATTCTAACATGGCCGACCCTCATGAAAACATTGGCGCAATTGCATAAAAAATCATGACTTGAGGCCAAGAACCAGCAGCACTGAAAATACATCAGCGATTCGAATTTTTTCACATGCATGACTTTTACGCCATGAGAGCTATTCTCAAAAGTATCAGTTTCAGAATAAAAATATTTGGTGTATGGATGCATTCTTACATGGCCGACCCTCATGAAAAACATTGGCGCAATTGCATCAAAAATCATGACTTGAGGCCAAGAATCAGCAGCACTATAAATACATCAGCGATTCTAACTTTTTCACATGCATGACTTTTACGCCATGAGAGCTATCCTAAAAAGTATTCGTCCCAGAATAAAAATATATGGTGTGTGGATGCACGTTTAGATGTCCCACACTCATGAAAACAATTGGCACAATTTCATCCAAAATCATGACTTGAATCCAAGAACCAGCAGCACTGAAAACATCAGCGATTCGAACTTTTTTCACATGCATGACGCCATGGGGGCTATCCTCAAAAGTATTCGTCTCAGAATAAAAAAAATAATTTTGGTGTGTGGATGCGCTCTTAGATGTCCGACCCTCATGAAAACAATTGGCGCAATTTCATCAACAATCATGACTTGAGGCCAAGAATCAGCAGCACTAAAAGCATCAGCGATTTCAACTTTTTCACATGTATGACTTTTACGCCATGGGAGCTATTCTCAAAAGTATCAGTTTCAGAATGAAAATAATTAGTGTGTGGATGCATTCTAACATGCCCGACCCTCATGAAAAACATTGGGGCAATTGCATCAAAAATCATGACTTGAGGCCAAGAACCAGCAGCACTGAAAATACATCAGCGATTCAAACTTTTTTCACATGCATGATTTTTACGCCATGGGGGCTATCCTCAAAAGTATTCGATTCAGAATAAAAAATAATAAATTGGCCTGTGGTCCGACCCTCATGAAAACAATAGGTGGAATTTGATCAAAAATTTATGACTTGTGGTCAAGAACCAGCAGCATTGAAAACATCAGCGATTCGAACTTTTTCACATGCATGACTTATACATGACTTATACTTATACATTTTACCGCAGTTAATTATAATTTACTGCAAGATGGTCAATAACTTCTCCTCCTAGTAATCTGACTGATCCTCTCTCTTCTACCTTATTATTATTACGGGGTGGCTACACCTGATATTGACTTACACTGTTGATCATTTATTTGTGACAGGGGTATAACATTACTTAGACACGTCCGTGTTGATCTGTAAATGTTCTGACAGTTACCATACTTATACTGCCCCTGTGTATCCAATTATAGCCCGTGTAGCTTGTAGTCACTTGCGAATAAAATTGTTTTTTCTTTGCACATGCTTATTTTTCCTATTATTCATCATATTTGACACTATGTAACACTTTTGATTGCATTTGTTGCGCCTTCCAGCTTTTCCTTATCCATATTTTTCGGATTTTCAAAACAGCATGGTGGTGCAATACTTTTGACGAGGTGTATAGAAATATGAACATCTTCATTTATTCCTTTTCAAGTATCATAACAAACAGAATAAATAAATAAAAGGTTTTATTTGTAATTTCAAAATAATTATTGCATTCTTAAAAACAGTATAAGCTTTAAAATGATTACTAATTCAATTTAAAATTGGTATTGAAGAAATGCCCATTCATCTGTTTTAAATAAAAAACAACTGCGCTCACGGTGTAGATTTAAATATTAATTGTGTCAATCACAGCGCAAAGTTTTCACAACATCCGTCTATCTTGATGACGCTGTTAAACTGAAATGCGGAATGAGAAGGGTGTTTTTTTATATACATATCAGAGCGTGTTCATTTTAATCATGTCCTATAGTTATTAATTGAAGACATCAATGTTGTACGAAGACTCTATGGGAGGAGGTGACAGGTCCAGTTTCATTCTACGGGCTGACCCACTTTTCTGCAATGAGCAACGGATCACACCTCCACAATAAACTCGCCCTACTGGTTAGATAACATTCTGGCAACTCACCATCTGTTTTGAGATTCCGACCACCCTGTCATGATATTAACGTTTAACCTAGTTCTATAAGCGGTGTAACATCCCCTTTGCTCTCTTGTCCCGAGTCTGATAGGAAACTATCATCAGGCAAATGTTAACTGATTTCTACAGGGAGGTGCGATTACAAGATATTTTTCAATTATCCTTTCTAAAGAAACGTTGCCTTGCATATTGTTTGGTACATGTTTTATTTTTTCTATATCATAACATTCGCCAAGAAAGACGATGCGGATTTTCCTTGGTGCCTTTTGACGCGGTGCCGTTTATGCTATAACACTGTAAGTGTAATACATCTTATGTTTAAATGTCTATTACTGTTTTACTGTATATTGAAGACATATTATAATTCCTCATTGCATACTGGCCTAACTTCTTTGTTTCTGGCAATCGAAACCCCGAATCTTATTATATGTATTAGCAGTCACAACATGTCTAATATATTGGTGACTTGACGTACATTTTACCTCAGGCACTAGCCCAAAATAGCTTTATGTTCTCTTTTCACATATACATTATAAACAGTCCACATATACACTAACTTGTACTGATACAAATAAGAGCTGTGATATTTATGTATATTTTTTAAATCCTATGATACAATTACTCACGATGTGTCAAACTGAATGTCAACTCGTGCTTGTTCGCTTGCAAGGATAGAACATTAATTGCATCGTGATTGCACACTTCCGTTGCGTCACGAAAGTGTCAACAGTATTTAATAGCAGCCGACGACGATCGCTGGTCGTTTACTGCAGCCATCACCGTTGGGTAAGTGGACTTCATAATATTTCGTCACTGTTATGTCTATTAAGTTACGAGTATCTGTTTATTGTAACAGAAGTGCGAAGTTGCTGTTCAAGGTCCCTGTACATTTGAACATGCAAATTCGTTCAAATATAAAACGTAAACGCCATAGAATAAGCAGCCTCGGTTATCCGTAGAAACAGATTCCAGTGGGCTTAAAAGGCAAAATTGTGCTCACAATTATTTGAACGAACCACTGAAAATCAGTGATCACACCAGCACGCATTGAACACTGATTCAACTGTTTGTGGGTATGTGCTACTTCATGTAACCTAAATATTTTCTCTCCACAATGTAGCTATTCGCTATTCGAGACTAGAAGATAATTGCAGAAATAGAAAGGGTATAGATGGAAAGGGATAAATAAGAACGTAGTCAGTTACGATTACGTGCACGGTGGCAACGAGCGCTACCGTCTTGCAGGAGACACCACGTGGACCAGCACGACGCGGAGACTGTTGTCTCGGTAGCACTGTCCAGCGACCCTCTCATTGACATCATTCATTGGCGTTCTGACCAGCGATTTGACTGACCTGGATTTCTTAAAATTTGTTTTTTGAGTAATCGATCCTGGACTTGTGATGTTGACCTAATACGCCCTGTGCGTGGTCGACCATGCACATTTCTTGACTACAGAAAGCCTGTTCCAAAGTCTACAAATCAAAGATTCAACGACGTTAAACACGTCTACCTCTCTCTTAGTTCTACCATTGTAAACATGCCAATAGACCCAAGACGATCATCCAATTGAATACGACGTATTCCCAGTCTGATCGCAAATTCACAGAGCAATGGCATACTCCACGTTCAATGTTAGGTCGTTAGATTTGAGTTCCAATGCCGATCTATCTCTGGCAGACAATTTTCAAATATTATCTTCTGACAACCTATTATAACATCTACATTCCATGATAACCTACATGTTTTTGGAGAGTATATATCGTCTTGACCCTCATTGTGTTTGCTGTCCACAATACATTGTTGCATATACAGTGTTACAATGTAAACCCTTCAGGTTGGATTAACACCAGCACAGATATCAATGACAGAATAGTCTAATTCCACCATTCCACACCCCAAATGGTATATTATATGAAATAAATGCCTTTAATACATTAAATTAGTAAATGTTAATAATTGCATTTCTTTTCAATTAAGCTTACTCTATTTTAATCTCGGAACCTATAGAGGTTTTTTTGTCAGAATAGTCCCTTATTAAACCATTCTTGTTGTCAAAGCGTTCTGACATGGGTATAACGGGGTCAGGTTTTGTTCCAGTATGATATTGTATCCAAACTGTTTCGATCAGTGCGCATTCTGTTACTCACAGGATTGCCATCTCCTGGCTCAGTTAAATACATGAGGACTAAATAATGCGAGAATAGGATTTATATATAAAAAACCGATCCATGTCCCGTGTTAAATATTCAGGATGATACTAATTGTTATGGTGGATACAGAAAACAAGACATCTATTTTCATGCAATTAAAATGTCACATATGTACGACAATATTTCAGCTGTCATAACCCACAACGCCTCTGGCAAAGAGTAATAATTTCAACGGAAATGTGTACATGAAACGTGAAGATACATGAGGTTATCCCCGTGGGGACCCGGGGAAGATATGGATGTGTCCTCAGCACCTCGTTCTATCAATCGGCTTGCCATGTCAAGCCCTGTGCACAAAATATTTCCTGTGACATTGAATAAGATTTAATGCAAAGTTATGTTTTTTACCAAATCTGAAACAGATAAAAGACTCCCGTAAGTGTTCAAATGGTTTAATTTGCCATACTGACTTCAGAAAATGCGTGATTTCATAAAAAAAACATGAACATGCCAAAATGTCAATTTATAAATCAATAGCGTGCGTGCAAGCAACGCATCTTCGTCTCACTGAATGGACCAGGCGTCGCACAAAGTCCTGTGTGATAGTTGTCCATATCTGCTGGCTTATGTTTCGAAGTTCCCGGAGTGTCTGTGGAACACGTGGTTGATGTCAAAGGGGATGACATTCACGTTGTTTTGTTGAAGATTATCCTGAACAAGTCGAACAATATGAGGCCGGTCGTTGTCATGTTGAAAGGTAATGCCGGGGCCATGACGACGCAAAAACGGTAGAACAACAGGGCCGATGATCTCGTCGCGGTAGCGCTGTACATGTCAATTGAGATTTCCCTCTTCCACTATCAAACGGGTCCTCTGTCTTGCTGTAATCCCAACCCATACCATAACGCTGCCGCCCCCGAAACGATCTTCTTCAATGACACAACGATTGACGTAACGTTCACCTCGACGTCGGTACACTCGAATCCGTCCATCGCTGTACCTGAGGTGAAAACGAGACTCGTCAGTGAATAGAACTTGTCCAACTGCATGGCCGTCCAGCGTTGACGCTGTCTGCACCACTGCAGACGTTCTTGACGGTGGTTTCCTGTCAACATGGGACGTCTGGCGACAATCCCTGAACATCTGAGGCGACGACGTACGGTTAGTGAAGATATTAGTCAATGTTGCTGGCGTGAATCAATTTCGTAGGTGTGTTGTTCGAATCCAGTGGTCTTGTCGATTATTGGTTACGCGTGGCCTGTCACTCCGAGGATGGTCTCTGACTGCATTCGTCTGTTGTCAACGTTGCCATAAACACCAAATGGTGTTTCTGTGGACGTGAAGTTGTCTTGCAACATCACGCTCGATCCTGCTTCAAGCAAACCAATGGCTCGCAGACGCTCATTTTCGGACAGGCGTGGCATTTCGTAATGTTGAATAATTGCGTAATTTGGTTGTTTTTCTGAGTGGTTGTTGTCAGCACGATGCTAAACAATGCATATGGAATCCCGTTAACGCACATGTTTTTATACCCATTCTTGGGTAGTGTAATGCATGGGGCTTGCATAAAAGTCAACTTTTGCATGGAATGCATGCTTTTCTGTAGCAGTTGCGTTTTTGTGACTTGATTCCATACATGTACTACAATATTGAAAACCGAACTTTACTTGTTTGAAAAATACACTAAAATAATGGTGTCACAGGAACTTTTGTTGTTGAGAATATATGTATGAATCTATAAAACTGGCTAAGAGCCCTATGCCCAGAAGAACTAGTGATGCTGACCTCCGAATTCTGCACTTCACATCCTTCCTGCAGTCAGTGACCTCGTGCCTGTCCGCACAGCGGTAACAAACAGCAGAGGCATGTCAGGACTTGGATCCATGTACAAACGCTTGGCAGGTGTAGCACCGGAGTGGATTTGGGATATACACCTCCACTCCAATGCCACAGTAACCGGCTTTAATCGATAGATGTTCTGGCGAAAGTGAACAGGTCGGTGTTGGTTAGGTCGACCACTGCATCCTTCTTTACAGTGAATCGTTTGACAGCTGTGACGGACTGTTGGCCACTCCTTCGCCACATCGTCTTCGGACTTGCCAGACAGGCAGCGAGCTCTTTGACGGACAATGCCTTTACACGAGTTCAGTGTCTTGAGCAATGAGACAACAACCTTGATATTGACAAACTCATTTAATTGGAGAAGATTGACAGATTGTTGTCTTCGTTCCTGGAGAGAGCCACTATGGAGTGTCTACAATGACGGTCTTACACTGCAGCAATTCTCAGAGCTGCAAAGACCGAGGATAAAGGGGTGGTATACTCAAATAAAAAAGCTATAACTATCTACCAAATTAGAATAGATTTTTTTTTAAGTACCAAAAGTGGGCGTGAAATAATTTATGCAAAGGGTATGACATGACCAGCCGATTGATAGAATCGGGCTCATTCTATTGCCCGTCTAGGCAAAGTTAGGATCGAAGTGGTGTGTTGGACTAAGGACCAGACTTCCTTCCTCTGCCGACACAGGGTCGCACCCCACGGCAAACAGGCTGCCCAATTTGCTCGCCTTTTACGACCAGCAATGGGATGATGAGGACACATTCTTGTTTATCTTCCCTGGATCCCCACGGGGAGCTTTGACTTGACGGAAATAGGGTCATATTATGACATCACCCAAACAGAGTTTCTTACGCATACATTCTGTGTTAATTATATTCTTTGAAAACTTCAAGAACTCACACTATAAGAGTATAATGTTACTTTTGACAAACGGATACAACAAGCGATTAACCGCAAAATAAATTCTGTGACAGACAGTCATGTGACCTCCGTAAATCATACTGTTAATTGCAATTAACAATTGTCTCCACATTCAACTTCTTTGTCACTGTCAGCCTGTCTCCGAGGACAGCGAATGTGACCATGTTTGACTCGTCGCAGTAAGAACATGTAGGTAGTTTACATGCTGGTCTTTGTAGCGCGAGGTCAGCATAACCAAATTCAGACTCATGACTAGTACATGGCTCGTCTACATCAAGTGGAGCAACTGCTGCCTCAGGACACAGCACATCTCTTGAGTCTGGCTTGCAAAAGGGTCTTATCTTATTGTATAAGTACCATTTCCTCTCCACAGAGGTTCAATAAATGGGGGCAGTCCTGTAGATGCTACCCTGTCTAGTTCTGTAGACTTCAAGACTTGAAATCTAGATCCAGGATCCCTCAGATTCAACTTACAAAGTGTCCTTCAGTGGCTTTGAGTGGCTCAAAAGTGATGATGCATCTACTTTGAGTTTGCCAGACCAAATGCAATATCTCCATAAAATGTGATTGGTATTCACAAGACAGTGTCATTTCTTCCTGACATAGGACACTGTTGTCACCAGTGTTTGAATGTCAAAACATATGAGTATGTGTATATGTACTGCTTCTGGCAAATCCAACAGATTCATCTGTAAAATAATTAACAATCGTATCTGGTTGGAACTTGGACCTAAAGACTCTCCAATATAAGACGCGAAAACAAAAGTTAGATATAAGCAGAGTTATTTCCCTTCCCATTTGTGATCTATTTATCTGAGCTTAATGTAATTGCAGCCAAAAAAAAATTGATGCTGTTATAATAATATTTCA